GGAGGCGGTGTCAGGCTTCGCTCGGAGGCGGGAGACTCGCTGCGGAATTCGTTAGGCCATTGCTGTCGGGGACGGTGGTAGGCCGAGTGAGAGGTCCAGGTTTCGTGCATACGAGGCGGGTACGCCGAAACACGTGGCGGCACAGGCGTTTCGTACATACGAGCTGGATACGTCGAAAAACATGGTGGTGCAGGCGGCCGTCTGGGACAGAAGCGCGAAATATGCCCTGGGAGACCGCATGTGTAGCAAACAGGGACTTGTCGGCTTGCATTAGCAGGAGCAGAGGTGGCAGAAGTAGGCGGAGACGGGTTGTGCTCCGCAGGAACAATTTGTGATGACACATAGTAATCTCCTGGTTGAAGACGGTCGGAGGTCCGCAGCGGCACGTCGAGATAATGACATCCGGTGGTGGCCGTGACCCGTCAGGGAAAACGGAACCCGCGGGCTAAAATCTGCAGTTAATGAGCGTGGTCGGTTTTCAACATTGCGCTCTCGCATCCAGTAGGGAAATGGTTCGGGACACGCAGCGAACGAGCATTGGTGGTGAACGTCACCTGCTTGAAGTCGTAGGAGCTCTTCTCGAACTACCCGATGTACGAGGAACGAAATGTCTTCGCAGGTGGCAACGTCCATACTTGCAACAGTGGGAACATTGTCCAAACGCCCGAACTTGGGTAAAATTCTCCGGGTCTTCAACGCCTCGAATGCACGACACTGCTGCCTGAAAATAGAAGGAGTGTTCAAGTTTTCTTTCGTTATCAAAAAATTGTACACGTCCTCGGCGATGCCTTTTAACAAATGACCGACTTTGTGTTCGTCAGACATATTTGCGTTGACAATCCCGCAAAGCTTCAATATTTCTTCAATGTAGGTTGTGCACGTTTCGCCGGGAAACTGAGCTCTACGTGACAGCGTTTGCTCAGCTTTCTTTTTTATAGAACTCGTGTCCCCAAAGCAGGCCTTCAGTTCCTTAACAAATATATCCCAAGTGGGGAGGACATGTTCATGGTTCTCAAACCAAAGCAAGGCTGTCCCGGCAAGAAAGAATACTACGTTCACGAGCTTTGCCGGTGCGCTCCATTCGTAGTACAGCTCACTCTGTCGAAGTGTTTTAGCCAAGCGTCCACGTCTTCGTCAGTTTTACTTTAGAATATTCGTGGCTCAGGTGCCCAGTAGCATGGTTGTCGAGGTCGACGACCACCTTGTGCCGTGTCAGTGGCACTGGTGGATGCAGCAGCGTAGTATGTCAATGAGATTGCTGTGTCGTCGTTCATGCTGATGTTGTCCGGGAGTAGGCCAGCTAAGCATCTGCTTCTTCGAAGAACTTCTGCTGCGGGGTCCAGGATGGCAAGTAACCCAGCACCGCTCCACCAAAGCTGTTACGGATGTGATGGGTTTATTTACACTGAAAAATGTCAGCGCTCTACCGTCACTGCTGAATCAACATCGCTCAAGAGCGCCCGATCTCTTCTTCTTCCTCGCTCTTTCAGTCCGCGTTACAATATCAATATGATTTAGCTGAAAACACAACATGCCGAAAAATGTAATTGAGTCAGTGTAGACAATAAAAAGTGAGCTCGAGATCGTGCACCTAAGTTCAACCATCAGTTCGTTGTCTTTCCTGCCACTCAGTACCGCTGTCTTGGAATTGTTCGAAAGCTCATACTTTTGCCATACCGTTCACGTTGCCGTCCAATACAATGGCTGAAGATTAAAAAAAATAGGGACAAAAAAAAAGAAAATGGTGAAGAAGGCAGGTGTGACGAAATTCACTATGTATGTAGACCTCTGAACAGCTGTGGCTGCGGTACATTGTGCGCCAACGTCACAGGTAGAATGCTAACCTATAGACCTCCTTTGAAAACTTCACCAATATGCCGCTGCTTTGATGTATAACTTCGCAACCGTAAAGAGCAGCAGTCGCTGTGTTTTGAATACTACAAAACGAGAATCGCATAGTGCTGTACTGAGAACTGAAAAAAAAAAAAAAAACCCTAATCTAATTATATGTGGCGAAGAATGGGACGTGCTTATCAAAAGGCTCAGATGATCCATGGATCGCTCCAGACCAAGAAGTCGAACCAGTTGTGTAGTCTTGTACAATGTCGGCAACTTCATGAGAGCAAAGCAAAGCCGTCTAAGGTTGTGCAGGTGAGAGCACCGGCGATGCGCTTGTGCTTGTTCCTGCATCTCACTATTTCAGGTTACTGCTTACTTTCAAGTGTACCCAGAAAATAGCCTTTCAAGTTGGTAACTGTTACTCAGACAAAACTGTTGCTGAGATGCAGCTTTATACACCACCTATACATGGGCAATCCCGAAAAAAAAAAAAAAGGGCCATTTTTCTGACTTGTCTCGTTTCATTAATCCTGTCAGTCCCCAGTTTATTATATTATTTTTTTCAGTCTAATTTTTACAAATATGTATAACTATAGTAGTTTTAAACAGATAAAAAAATCTATGCTTACACTTTTCAATCAAGAGTAATTAGCAACTAAATTAATTTATGAATTATATATTTTGTAATATCTTGATCTTTTCTTTCTTGATTTCTTACTTAACACTATTTGGATGGAATAGCACAATCCTCAACAGCCAAAGTTCATATTTTTCACACGACACTAAAATAAATGTCCTACTACTGCACTGTCAAAAGAAGCTGCTTCAGTGAAATGCATGAACCGTACTTCTGCAATTTCTTCATTCATCCTAATTTGTTGTGTACATAAGGTTGGCACCGCATGTAAAGAAGATACTAAATAACAGCTCTTGAAGATGAACAATGCTTATGTTTCATAGGAGCATGCTGACTTACCTACAAACTTATGATTACAATTGAAATCACGTTTTTTTTTATTAAACTGCTCCGTCCAAAAATTAGACAACGCACACAAAAATGACGAGGCCAGCGCAGTAAGGGTCACAAGTAAAAAGGGGAAAAGGAAACGCAATTAACAGTGCCTGAAGAACTAGAAATGTACTGAACTTGGGTCATTTGGTATTCCATTATTAAACTGCTCAGCGAAAAAATTAGACAACGCACACAGAAAAGATGAGGACCAGCACATCTCATTATTAGAATACCAACTAGCCCAATCCCACGCTTGGAATCACTGGGCCAGAAACGGTCAATGAATGCCATGACTTTTCCCAGTAGCTCGAAATTCTCCAACTTTTCCATGTTTCTCCAGTCGCTAGACACCCTGCATGCTTTCTCTGCACCCACAACTAAGTACTAGTATCATGTTATCGGTTGCTACATTTCTCATCATGCTTCCCGCTGTACGTTCCCTCAGCTTTCCTTCTTTTCACTACCTTCACTCACTACCCTTCAATCTCGACTGCACTCTGCATCTGCTCTTCTTCATCCTCCCGTGTTCCAATTGTATGCTCAATATGCCATCTAGGACAATGCAAAACACTTGAATGCACACTTCACAATGGCACTCTAAAAATAAAACTACCTCCTCTGCCCTTACCACTTTGTTCGTAGAGTTCATATTGCTGCGTAACAGCACCAGTTACAACACTCTTGAAAGAAGACACTTCGTTTATGATTATGATAATGGTGAAAACAACGGAAGAAACTGGCACTGGCTGTTTGCTTTGGGTGGTTCATGTAAAAGATTTAATCACATGCCACTAGAAGGTCTTGAACACTTGTCAGCCTCCGGTGTTTATTTGCTCATTACAGAGACCGTAACTTAGAAGTACTTTTTGCTGGGCTAGTTTTACTGGGCTAGTACTTTTTGCTGGACTGGGCTTTCTCTGTATTTTTTTCATTCTTCCTGTGGTGTTTTAGGTGTCTAGAATTTTCCCTCCTTACAAAGACTGATAGTTAGAGGTGTATTGAGTATAGGTCAATGCATCATGAACATATTTAGTATCTAATAATGTCAGAAGTCACTCATCTCTGATTGGTTAGGAGAAAGTAGCAGATAACCACTTCACTGCAACAATATCATCCTTTAGATATTGTTTTAGTTTTGTTTGCTATTGATCTGACGGCGGTCATATCGAATTCGTTCGATTCATACGTGGTCGGTGTTCATACGGCATACACCTTGCCCTAATTGCCTGGTGATCTGTGCCTGCTTGGCTAAATTAAAGTTTTTTTTTTTTTTGCTGTACACACTTATCTTATTAAAAGGGCCCTGCAACACTATTCGAGCATGGTCCGAAAACGTTGCCAATTGGTAGTAGAGGCTCCCAGCAACACGTGAGCCAAATATTATAGCACAGCACGCGGCCTGGAATTCACAATAAATGATCACAGTCAGCTGAAAATTGCTTTCCCTTCTCTCGACAAATGGCCGAATGTGCCCAAAAATCACATGTGAATTACCCATCTATCAGCCATTGCCTGATTTGAACATGCGTGCATGTTCAAATCACGTGTGTGATCACATGCAGTGTGATCACACACGTGCGTGCGTGATCACACCAAAAAAGTGCACACATTTGAAGAAAAAAAAAGAAAAATAGTGCTCAAGGTCACAAGGCACATGTGACATTTTTCTGTGGCCCTGCCATCCCTCCCTGCTTAGCTTCCAGCGCTTTCGTCGGGACGAGAGAAGAAAGAATGCAATTGTAGCATGCGACAAACCTTTATAACTCCACTCGCACTGGATGGATTCTTAAAATTTTTGTGGCGTTGAATTTGTGAGGCAATAAGCTTTTCCAGTGAACTTGAAAAGCGCTTCAGAGCCCCTTTAATGCGAATACATATGGCCATAGAAAAAAAAAAGAAAGAGAGAGAAAAAGAAAAGCACTATAACTGCATAACACATATGTAAATGCTGGTCACATTCTCGCCTGTGGTTTCCGCGTGCAGGAAAATGTGCACACGAGCAGTTTATGGATGTGAAAGCTTTTCTTTTGCTTCTGCATCCCTGTTGCAGCATTGTTTAATATATTCACTATCTTCTACATATTTTTCATCATCTATTCATAAGTAAACATATATTATAATATAAAAAAAACATGCTACAGCTACTTACCAGTAATATCTGATGATCTGCTTTCAGTGGCCAGGTCCTAAATAAAAAAACAAAGGCTTAGATTTTAGAAAAAAGTTTGAGAATTCTGTAAAATAAAAACGCTGGTAAAAAACCTGAGACAGGAATTTATTAAGAATACATTTCGGACCCCCACCTCCCCCTCCCCAAACACACACACGCGCAAGCGCATGCAGAATTTTAGGAACAAGTACTTGATAGGTTAAACTTCAATAACCATTTTTATTGCTCCATCTAAGCTCCACTAAAAACCATATACACGATTCTGCAATTTAAGGCAGTAACATTATGCCATAGAGTCAATTTACTGAAATCCTTGCACATTGCATGCACACACCTGGACAAATAAAAGGTTTGTATACATAAGTACAGAGAGAATCACTTCTTGCGGACCTTTCATGTGCAAAAATTGCTGGCAGGTGGTGAAAACACCATCAAGCAAAGGGAATGGAACACACTGCTGTGCTATCACGCCAGCTTGCATCATGCAAGCTCATGGCTATGGGGACGGGGCAAAAAAGGATGCACCGAAAAACTGTACAAAACTTGGGCAAACTGTAAAAGCATGAAGAATTAATTTTTTATATCGATAAACACGAGTAAATAATTTTTTGCGTCGCATGTTGACCCAGCCGGCGTGAGATGCAGTCGGTCATTTTTGTCGTTTGAGGAGGCATGTAAGCTTTCGCCTGAACGGTAAAAATGATAAAAACAATAAAGGACAGAGGAAAAACAGCATGAGTAAGTTACATAGCAGAGTAAAGGACTGGGAAACTACACTGCATGACCAATTGAACTTTAAACCCGCTACAGCATCGTAGTGATAAATCAACGCAAAACAAAACACGAAAGCAGGTAAAACCATATGAGATAACTGCTTGATAACTGTATATGAGGCTATTCTAAGATATATATATTCATATAGAAACGCCGAATGTATATATACCATGAAAGACTGGATACGCGCTGTCAAAAGTTGCAACCAGTGCACTTCTGTGATGCGCAAAGATCCACCAGAGTCGTTAAAGAGCTCTGGATTGCCCACAATTTTTCACTAGACGCCTCGGGAAAAAAAAAGAAGCATGATTTTACAATGGTAGCATATCTTACAGTGGAAGCAGCATGCAATGGTTGCCGTCGAATTTCTGGCTTCAAGGCCTCATTTGACACTAAATTTCACTGTATTAGAGCTTCTCTGAATTTCCTTGACGGTAACATTACTTCGAGGACAAAATCAATCTTCACGCCTACATTTAATCACATTTTATGCTACCATGCTTCAATATTATATGCTATTGAATTATATGCTACTATGCTCCAATAATGAATGGTCGGCATGGCCGTCCGCCTGTGGCGACGCATTTGTAAAAATAATGTCATCTTTTGACATTGCCGTCAATTTTCTGTCACTTCGACCCAGGCGCCCCTACCTAAATCCACACAGTTGTTAGTGGAGTCGACCTTGGTGCTATCCTTGCTCAGCGATAGTCTGGCTTCGATGAGTACGTGGTTTCTTACGCGAGCCACACTTTGACCAGAGCTGAAGAGAATTATTCGAAGAGAAAAAATGTCTAGCCATCGTTTTGGCAATCCCTAACTTTAGACCTTACGTATATGGCCGCCCATTTGATGTCGTGACTGATCACCATGCCCTCTACTGGCTGTCGTTTCTAAAAGACCCATCTGGTCATATAGCCCGTTGGGCATTACATCTGCAAGACTATGACATCCACTTCGTCTACAGGTCACAAGGCGCAGATATTCAGACGCCCACACTCTCTCTCACTCTCTGCTTTCCCGTGACTTCGCAAATGCGGCTGTTTCCACCTATGATTTTGCGTCCTTCACACACTCTGACATACCATCTCAGCAGTGTCAAGACCCTTAGATAGTGTCTATCCAAGCCATCATCGAGTACCGCCAGTCGCTCAATGCGGCGCACAGCTTGCCATTTCACCGTGCGCGATGGGCTACTTTACCGCCACAACTACCTCACTGATGGTCGCAAGTGGTTGCTGGTGATTCCTTGCCATCTACGTGCTAATATCTGCGCTTCCTTCCATGCAGACGCTCAATGTGGCCCCGCTGCTGATAGCCCGTTGGGCATTACATCTGCAAGACTATGACATCCACTTCGTCTACAGGTCACAAGGCGCAGATATTCAGACGCCCACACTCTCTCTCACTCTCTGCTTTCCCGTGACTTCGCAAATGCGGCTGTTTCCACCTATGATTTTGCGTCCTTCACACACTCTGACATACCATCTCAGCAGTGTCAAGACCCTTAGATAGTGTCTATCCAAGCCATCATCGAGTACCGCCAGTCGCTCAATGCGGCGCACAGCTTGCCATTTCACCGTGCGCGATGGGCTACTTTACCGCCACAACTACCTCACTGATGGTCGCAAGTGGTTGCTGGTGATTCCTTGCCATCTACGTGCTAATATCTGCGCTTCCTTCCATGCAGACGCTCAATGTGGCCCCGCTGCTGTAATAAAGACGTATGTACGCCTCCAACTGCGGTACTACTGGCGTGGAATGTACTGAATTATTCGACAATACATGCATTCATGCTCCAAGTGTCAACGCCGGAAGAGTCTACCGTGTATAGCCACTGGACCACTCCAACTGTTGCCCTGTTCCTCACGACCTTTCGATCCCACTGAAATGGACTTGTATGGCCCCCTTGCGTACACACTTGACGTGAATCCCTGGGTGATTGTCGCTCTTGATCATTTGACGCGGTGTGCTGAGACGGCCGTGCTGCCAGAGGCCACATCATGTGAAGTCGGCACATTTATACTTCCCAAATTTCTGCTTTGCCACGGCACGCCTCGTGAGCTACTCAGAGACTGCGGATGCACTTCCTTTCAGAAACCGTACAAGCCCTCCTGCGTGAATGCAACATTGTGCACCAAAGGACCAGCGCATACCATACCCAAACCAACTGCATGACTGAACGCTTTACCTGCACACTAGGTGACATGCTCTCCATGTATGTCTCTGCTGACCAGACCAACTGGGACCGCATACCACCATTTGTTACGTATGATTACAACAGCAACACTCAGTCTACGACAGGATTTTCTCCCTCCTTTCTTCTTTATGGCCGTGAACCCTTCTCATTTATGGATACTATTTTGTTGTATCACCCGGACACTTCAAAGTCTGCAACTTTCTTTGAAGTTACCACCTATGTGGAAGACTGCAGACAGCTAGCACGTTCGTTAACCACACAAGAACAAGCACACCAAAAGGACCGTCATGACGCCGACCTGCATCCCCAGTCATATTCGCCTGGAACATTGGGATGGCTTCACGTTGCCTCCTCAGCTCCTGGCCTTTCTTCAAAGCTACCGCCTAAGTACGAAGGCCCTTACCGCATCCTGCGTCAAGCATCCTCAATAAACTATATTGTCAAGCCCGTTCAGTCATCCACAGACCGTGGCCGTCGCAGACTGTTCACGTCGACTGAGTGAAGCTGCACTACGAACCACCAGTCGTACCTGTTCCCTAGGTCGCCAGAATGGCTCCTTCTTTGCGGGGGAGTAATTTTTACAACTTATAGAATTCAAACAGCAGTGCCAGCAAAAGATTAAAACAAGGATCGTTCTCGGTGCTCGTGATTGCTCCGATTCGGACCGCTGATCGCTCGACCTGTGTTCGCTCTTTAATAAACGCGTCACGGACTCAACGCTAAATGCGTACTATTTATATATATCATCCTGTATGGAGCTCTACGACTAGTTCTATTTATAATTATAGAGTTCAACATTTAATATAAAACAGAACAACTTCTGGAAAATGAATTTTCAGGTTCTTGCCAAAATGTTATTTTTTAAAGAAAGATAACAAAAATAATTTTGCTAAGAATGAAGCATGCAAAAAAATTTACTTACTCCTAAGCGAGATGTCAAAGTTTCTTCTGGAGAAAACAACTGAAAAGAAATGAAGATGCAACACGTTTTTCTCTGACTACATCATTTCAGACATCATATACACATTAAATTCATGGTAAATGACATAAAGGCACGAGCAACAGAAAAGGAGAACATGAATGCAAATTGACAAGTGATTTCACTAATGGTAAAAGAACAGGTATATATATTCACAGGCTGTACAAGCACGCTGCTACAAGAAATAAAGGAAATCATCAAACGGTGTAGAATATAAATTTCATTTTGCAACTGATGTGTCGCGACTGATCATCATGCACTCAGCTGGTTGTCATTGTGAAGGACGCCAAATCCTAGGTAGAACCGGGCGCACTTGCCCAGTCACAGGGAAGCGGGGAGCGAGAGAGCGCGTCGGCGCCTGAATGTTTGCGCCCTGACCTGTAGACGACGTGGATGTCATAGTATTGTAGACGTGCCCGACGAGCTAGATGACCAGATGGGTCTTTTAGAGACGACAAACAGCAGAGGGCATGGTGATCAGCTGTAACATTAAATGGACATCATTACACACTTCTGTCCTGCCTTTCTGATAAAATAAAAATAATTCAGACCTAATGTCAGGCTTAACACTTGCCTTTTAGTGTGAGACACCCCATTCTGTATCCAGCAGAGAGAGCATGCATGCACAGACCACAACTATAATTTCACCGGCAAGTGGCCACCTGTCCGTCGTTACAAACTATTTTGTGAACACCTGTACAAGTGCTTACTGAACCCATACATTTGTCGCATATTATTTCACAGTAGAATTATAAAGAACAGTTCTTACTTCCCTGTCCCCTGCCCACACACACAGGTTGTCTGTGTAACTTGGGCCGACACCATAATAATAAAAGGTGCACTGGAAGCGAACTGAACCAAATGCATACTATTTGTACTGCTTTATAGTTAGTCAGGTTATTCTTGTTTTATCCTGAGAGAACTGATTAAGTGCTTTTAATATTGAACTCAAAAATTCAATATTTGCAGAAGGCAGAAAACATGAGTGCATAATTGTAGAACTCCTTCAAAAACCATCAAATAAATTTCTTTCGATACAACTCCTACTTAATTGCTTTTTTTTCTATGTTGCAAAGAAAGCTTGCAAAAAAAAAGATAACTGAGCACTTCTCTATTGCTATCATGCTGTGGTCAAGCGTACAACTGGTGAATAAAGCCACATGCAGTGTGACTGTGACCTCGGGGAAGTGGCAGAGTGTTTTATGGTGTTTGATAGTGGACAGCATCTGGGCCTCTACCTTTTATCGGATGACAGAGCAAATGCGTGCTGCTGGCTGAGCACTGCCGATACAATAAGGTGCCGGTAAAATGCTGCAGGGAACCTGCTTCACAGACTGCGTGCTTGAAAGCACTCCGATAGCAGTGTGCCAGTGCTTAGTCATGTGTTTTGTATTTAATATTTCGTGGGCTTTCTTTGCAATGCACAAAAAAAAAACACTACGTGAGGATCATGTGCAGGAAACAATTCAATAAATGGTTATCAAGGTGCTCTACAAGTATGCCCTCATACTTTGGGTTTTCAGACTAATTGAACAGCTTATTAATTAAATACAATTATTTATTAAAATAAAATATTAAATATAGACATAATAAACCTTTCCCTATCGAAGACTAGCTGAGCTTCTCCATGCTGAAACAAGCATTTCACGGTGCCTCAATCAAGCTACCCTGATCCATTTTGATGAGTTGTCCTTGGCTTCGACAGATGGCTCCACAAAAAACTTAAGCCAGGTACAGCTGCACTCAGAAGAGAGACAGAGAGTGGAAAGAAAAAAAAACACACACGTTTATATGAAAAGTTTTGTCAGACTCAGAGATTGAAGAAATATTTCTGTAGTCCTCCGAGAGCAGCTGTGACAGCACAAAGCAGTATAACTCCCCTGAATTATCAGATTCGTATGATGACCGCGTCTCGATGTAACAGCAGTGGACACCGACTGATGTAAACGAAATGCCGTTGGAGCATTTAAGGTTTATTTTCATGGCCTCACTTGCCACTGTGCATTTTTTTACATAAAAATTCTGAAGAGGCATTTTCAGCACCGAGGCCTAAAGAGGCTCTAACAGTTTTTGAGTCCTTAGCATATTAAAAAAAAAATATATGTGTAGACTAACTAGGCATAATAACTTTTTTTTAATCATTTATGGCCAAAATGTTTCGATGAGAACGGGTGGAGATAAGGTAAAGATAATGGCCAGCATGAAGGAATGCATTTGGTTCAATTTGATTGTGACATGCCTTTTATTTGTACAGTCTAAGCCCAAGTTACATTAGACAACCCAAATAAACATACATACATGCATGAATCATTCTATGTCAAGTGTACAGGTTGCTTTTATGACATGACCAAATAATAATCTATATTGTAAAACAAAATTTGGGGACCCTTAAGCTTCGCCTTTAAGAGTTGAATGCGATAGCTAAATCCGGCCCCTAGTGCACCCTTCAACCACTAAGTGCATACTTATTAATGTGTTTTGTCTCTCTCACTCACTCACTCACTCTCTCTCTCTCTCTCTCACACACACACACACATGCACGCACACACACACACACAGTAGATTGTACCAGCATGCACGCGAATAGTACATACAAGTTCTTTATCTAAAGCAAGAGTTGCATGGCCTCCAAGATACACACTGCACGCTTGCCATCCACTACGCATTTGAGTGAATTGCCAACACAATTTAGGGGTGACATCTTTGATGCTCCATGCCAAAATGGAAGTTGCTGCTTGTGAGAAGAGAGTTGCAGCAGCGTTTTGAAATTTCATAAAATGTAAACTTAGAGTCCAGAATTGTTTGTGCATGATCAAACTGGGCTCTCTACTTTGTTACAATACTGAGAATAGAAGGGCTACAGTAACACGGCACCTTTAAAAGCATTTGCACAGCTTGGGGCAGATGTTCTGGATATTTAATTTTTTGTCGGGCTTAATTATTGCTAACTCTCTCTTGAGCTAAGGAACAAGAGAGCACACAAGCCGGCAGTGCTTCACAAATCCCTAATCAGTAACATGAGAAAATGCAAACTGTTCAGTACTCGCAACTGTATAGTACTGGGCAAAATATACAAGGGTACTTATTCAATCTTAAGAGTTTGTTATGCATGTCCATGATTACTGAAGCATGATAAGTTATTCATTGCACAGGTCTTAACAGTGAGCTCTATAGGAAGGATATATGTGGGCAATGAGATGTCAGAACCTCGTACTTTGCCAGTGTTTTTTAACCATAATTCTGCACTTTAGAAAACGCAGAGTCCCATAGAAGGTTTACTTGGATAACAACTGGCGAGTATGAGCAGCCAGAGCCTTGACCCTAAATTTCAACAAGGTAGTCCTCTTGTTGAGATGCAAACTTCAGGACAATGCTTTCCTTGTTTTGCCCAGAATTCTCAAGTAGTAATGTTATGGAGTTAAACGCTGTTTCCAGCACGTCTGATAATGCTCGTGTCAGTTGCTTGCTACCATGTATAAACTGCGGCCATAATTTCTGTAGCTTCGATCCATCACTACAGCTGTAGCTGTCACCAAATGTCTCGACATTGTGCTAAAATTCTGTTGTTGTTTGTGTCAATGTAGCTTCACTGCGCTGTGCATGTGAATTGCCCACAATCTTGCTTTCGCTTTTACACCCTTGTTGCCTGCGGATATGACAGAAAGTCCAGATAATATCTGCTTTTCTCAGGTGCTCTCGCAATCATGTGAGTACTTGGTGTATCAATAAATAAATAATGATTGTTTACCTTTACGTATGTCATTGTGATTGCATCCTTAATAAAAACCAACAGATAATGACGCCAAGGCACACAGCTGCACGCACAGTTTGTATACGCTTGCCATTCTGAAGGTGCTAATTTTGGCCGCTGCATAAAGCAATTGAGCAGAATAGTAAGGTGCCCTCCCAGCAAAAGAAAGCTGTAAAAAGTACTAGAAGCAAGTAGCTGTTCTTCCACGCCTGGTCCAGCAAGATATTGAAAGCCTGAAGATCCCAATAGCCGTTATGTCTCTAATTTTCCTCGTCTGTCATTTTCTAACAACGGTACAGTAAAAGGAGAGTGAACTAATAAGTGTGTCGTAATAATACTTTGATATGACCAAAATGAACCTGCAGACAAGCAAGCATTGTATATATCTGCTTTCTTGTACACTTAGACAATCAATCTCAGTACGCCAACGAGTACATGAACACCGACCGCACAAACCACAAACACGACAATCTCACGCGATCATAACCTCGTGATCCACCCAATGCACAAGTACATAGCATTTAATACGAATGCACCGAGTGGGTGTACGATTGTTATCAGCCCCGGACTTTGCGAACAGAGCAGTTGACTCAAAACAAGCCTTGTAATGCCACGAAGAGCATTCGACAGCATTGCAACCATCGCCGCAGATGTCATATACAGCTACGGCGCTTACCGCTCATAACAATCGTTACATTCATAACGATCGATACTCCTGAATCACTTGTGGTATCCCCTTGCAGAAACACACGAAAAATATTGCATCTAACAGAACACGATATTCAAGTGAAGAACTCGGGTCTTCTCAACGCTCGCTAGCAATGCGTCGAACGGCCCGGAAGAGAAATGGCCGCCGCCGCTCAATGTTGCCCGCATGCAGCCTACCTTCGCGGTACTCTGAAATTTTTCGAATGACTCTAGTTAAACTCGACAAGAGGTGCCATCTAGCAGTGCCCAGTTGAACTGAAAAACGTCTGCAGGCGTCTCTCATAATCATATGGTGGTTTTGGGACGTTAAACCCCACAAATTAATCATGAAAAACGTCTGCAATCTTGGAGCCAATGACGGAACATTGATCAATGGTCGTTGTTGCTGCTGTGGCTGCCGCTGCTTTCGGTCTGCTGCTACTAGCGCAGTAAAGCTGGGCAACGTTATGTACGGCAACAGTGACGTGAGACAATCCGGTCGGTCCGCTTCTTGAGGCGGGTAATTTGAATCGCGCTAACTCGG